ACCCAGTTTAAATGGTTTTATTATAATAAAATTTTGTATAAGTACTTAATGAAGCATTTAAGTAAATGATAAAAATTTCAAAATGATTGTACTGCTTAAAAGCCCTTTGACCTTTAATAATGTGTGGATGCACCCTGATGTGCTACGCATTCTCCAACGCGCCAAGGCATGCTTCTGATCAGGTGGTCAATGTCCTCCTGTGGTGTCTCATTCCAGGCAACCACCAACTCCTCTCGAAGTGCTTCTAGAGTCTGAGGAGGACGTTGCAAATTGAGCAAATTGATCTACTACCCATCACATCCCACACGTGCTCAATTCGGGATAAGTCGGGAGATCTTGGTGGCCATGGTAACAATGTGACATCATTATGTTGAAAGAAGTCTACTGTAACTCTTGCAACATGTGGTCGGGCATTATCTTGTTGGAAAGTTGGATCTGCCAGGGTGTCAAGATAGGGTAAAAGATGGGGTTCTAGAACTTCGTGGATATAACGCTGCGCGTTCATGTTACCTCTGATGAAGATTAAAGGTGACCTGGAACCATAAGCTATAGCACCCCAAACCATAACTCCAACAGTGTGATGAACATGTCTTTCAACAAAAAACTGTGGATTCCTCCTTTCACCACGTCGCCTTCTAACCCTGGCACGACCATCGTGCATGCCTAAACAAAATCCAGACTCGTCACTAAAGACAATACTGTTCCATTCCTGATCCCAGAGTGACCGTTGTCTGCACCACTCAAGGCGATTACGTCGGGGTTCTCGAGTTAAAGGGAGGACCCAGTGTGGCCGGTATGAAAACAATCCAAAACTTCTCATTCGTCAGTAAACACTTCGAATGCCAATAGGTCTTCCGTGTTCTGCAAACCATTCATTTGCAATAGACCTGGTAGTGACAACACCTAACCACAGTGTCTACACTTCTTTGCACACTAACTGGAATTGCCCGAAAAGAAAGTCCAGCTTCCCGAAGTCCCACTATACGGCCCCAATCAAACCCACTAAGTTGACAAAATCGTACAGGTCTCCGTACTGTAGGCATCGTAACCGATCGTAAAGGATGTCAAGAACCAAAATCCGCCAACGTTGATTCTTTACTGCGGCTGAAATATTAATTTTTAGAGCGTTAGTGAATTAAAAAACAAACAGTATAAAAACCGGAATGTCCAACTGATAAGGCTGAAAATTTTTTCACTTGTTATTTACAGTAAGATAAATACATTCACCAACTTTTATTAAAATAAAACCATTTAAACTGGGTGTTCGGATTTATATGTCACTTAGTATATATATATATAGTGAAAATGATCATGCGGAGAGCAGTATATAACAGAAAGTTGGAAAATAATGGGCAAAATCCGCAAAAAGGAGGAAAGTGGATTCGACCAGAAAATAGGATAGGTCACCCGAGCGATACGTATTTCTGCTGGCTGGCTTCATCAGGCCCGAAATGAATGCACATATGAAACTACAAAAGTAGATACACATGCCCACACATTCACTTTGTAGATCCTTTGGGCCTGAAGTACCACAGCAAGTGGCTATAACCGGCCGCGTGGTTGTGGTTAGATGTCTCCTTGAAAATTCGAGGTCTTCTAGCCAATTTGTACTGCAATGTCTAGGTTTTCCCTCTCCATCTTCGTTTCCTCGGGTTACTACTACTTTTGCAGTTGCATAATGTGCATTCATTTCGGGTCTGATGAAGCCAACCAGCAGAAACATGTATCGCTCGGGTTACCTATCCTATTTTCTGCTCGAGTACACTTTCCGCCTTTTTGAGGATTTTGCCCACTATTTTCATACTTTTTGATATATATATATATATATATATACAGGGTGACTTCGAAGTTGAGTCATTTATTTTAACAGTGAGTAGATCTGATCAAAAGAAATGTTTTTTTCCTTTACCATTTTTCTGGTAAAATTAAAGTAACAAAGTTATAGCCCTTTGGAAGTTTGAGTACCGCCCTGTCTCAATAATAATATTATGTGCTCGTGTTTGGCAACAACGGATATAATCCGCCTTGTCGGTTCATCGCATCGGAAACAAAAAAGCGAAAGAATTTGGAACGATGTTTTTACAATTATTTTATTAGTTGTATACAGTCAGTGTCAGTCGGTAACGCGTGAGTGAATAGTGGTGTCTGTTTCGTAGCTCAAACGAAATAAAAGATGGCACATGTTTATGCGGATCGGTTTCCCAATCGAGTGCAACCAACCCCTCGTGCCTTTGTTAATGTAGTACAAGGGGCTCGTGAATCAGGTGACTTAAGACCTCACAGGGGACGGCATGCCGGTGCTCCAAGACCTCACGATCAAATACAGGTCCGCACTGAAATACTTGTCGGGAGGATACTTTATAAAACAAGGTAACATTTTTTTTTTAATTTTTATTTTATTTTTACACACATATTTTGGTTTATCTTCCTTCTACAATCATTATCTGAAAATTAATGACTTAACTTCAAAGTCACCCTGTATATATATACTCATTTGTTTTCAAATATTTCAAAGTTCAGTTTGTTATAAAACTAACATATTGAAGTTAGCAGGATACAACATTGACATTAATTTCCTGTGTTTTTGTTATAATCATAATGTATGCATAGAGACAGACCCCTAAGTTTCAAACCCCTCAAAAAATTTTCCAAAAATGATCAGGAGCCTCTGAATCGCAAAAGACATCGTTCAAGCGATTTTTGTTTTTTTTTGTCTTTTTGCCTCTAGCTCCGAGACCGCTCGACCGATAGACAAAAGCTACAAAGCTTGTGACCTTGTAAAAATCAAAATATAGGCGGTTATAAAACTAGCGGAGACACCGACAAATACACAGGCCGACAGGCAGACCGACGGATATGAGTGACATAGTTTTTCATGATGTACAAGTCGTATAACATCCAAAAAACACAATTATCTCGATTTCGAATTTTTCGCGATCACAATAATTCCTCGCCAGTTTTGGCATACGATTTAAAAAGTAATTTAGTGGGTGGTAAAACCATGTGCTGTTCGTATTATATTTATGACGTGTTCTGGAAATAACAAGAACGTCTTAAACCGAGGCGATGAAAAGTACATAATGCCAATATTTTCCTCCGATCCGATAATCTACAATCTAAATCCTCTGTTTGAGAGGAAAATAGGGAAGAGGGTGTGACAGAGAGAGAATACAAAAACGTATTTGGCAGCAATCACGTACATGAAAAGTCCATATAGAAAATTAATTCGCCGTCACCCCAAAACAGGCGAAAATCGGAAGAGAAAATAAAAAGATTAAAAAGATGAGTAACTTCGAATCGAATGATTGTTCGTCGGGGCATGGAGCATCCCCCAACACGTGTCAAATACAGGATAGAAAATAATAGGGGAATGACAATGTGCGAGAAACAATCAAATCATGTTTGCTTCATGTATTACTGATTTTTAGCAAACGGCACCAGGACCAGGACCCTCGGTCTCGGTTTAATGCCTATTATGTCAACGCACTGACTGGACGCGCCACGTGAAAGCCTAACTCTGGGTTTTTCCTTTTTAATTAAAATGCTGGTAATTGGTTTCACCGAACACTAATTGCTCCGAAAAATATGTTTTTTGCGTTTTTCTTGTTTTGCTTGAAACAACGGCAAACTTCAGACAGTTTATTGGAAATAAAGATCTGACTAAAAAGCACTTGTCTGCTTTCAAGCTGTGCGACCGCAGCCAACTGTAAACAACGCTGTTTCATGCTTCTTATCAATCATCAGTGCGGTATAGGTCCAGTCATTTGGAGACAGATAAAGCAAGCAAGAGAAGAGAGAGTTTATTGAAAAAATCGATATTGTGATGTGCGAAAAATAAGGTTGGCAGTACCACATGTGAGTAGTTGAAATAAGACGCGCAAAATAATATCTATCATCAAAACCGAGCACTGCGGGAGATCTCAGCTCGCGTTTAATGTCAGTAGTTCTCGAGTCGAGATACTTCCAACCCCTACGTATGATAGCAGGAAACCACAGTTTCTCAGCATCTCGGAATGACAGGGCCGGCGTCTAAGAGGTCGTTCGCCAGATGGGCGTCCCAACGTCACTCAGGAGAGTACCACCGTGCTACCAGCATTGACGTACAATGCAAAATTTGCATAAATTAAGTACCTGCTGAGTATGATCTGCGACTATAACCAACCATATCTTTCATTCTTCCATTCAAATATCGGTAATACCACGATTGGTGAAACTAGTAGGTGCCACCGTCATCTTTCGCCCATCTCAGTTTTTCAGTACGCCCATATTCTCTTCTTTGCTTTCCGTCACCTGTCTCCAAATGCCTGGACCTATACCGTACTGATGAGAAGAAGCATACAACAACATCGTATAGGGTATAGTCGCTATGAAAGATCCTAGTTAACCTGTGTTTGGTGTGTAGTGGTCGATCTTGGTCGGCGTCTCAGAAGCGGAAACTGTGCTGCTCCATGCTTAGATTTTTTTAAATCTCCCTGTTGTGAATTTCCCTGGATCATTCTGCTGAAAAGTTAGTTGAACTAACAACCGTGGACTGTGATGGCAATAGAAACGTAGCTTCTGTGCTTGCGCTAATACAGATGTGGTTTTGGATCTCCTTTGATTTCCTCAGATTTATTTCGATTGCCATAGGCCTGATTCCAGTGGAATAGAAACGACTTCTCTTATAGCAAGATCTCCATGTTTTTGCTTTGAACCGAATAGTGTAATTACAGTTGAACCTCAATAACTCGAACTTGAAGGGACAGCCAAAAAAGTTCGAACTATAGAGAGTTCCAGTTAGAGAAAAACCACATTGTATGTATATATCTACATACATATTCCAAAACATATTTTTTATTATTATACAAACATACATAATAACATATGTATGTATAACTACATAGTAAAAAGCGTTAAACTAAGAAAAAAGTCTCTACTAACTCGAAATGTATGTACTAAAAGCACTTTAAAAATAATCAGTTATTAAACTTTGACTGATTATTTTTGTTGGGCGGTGAGATTCATATTTTTGTATAATTTGGCAGATTAAAGTCCTCATTAGTTGGAGCCTCATTGATTGAAAGCTGGATGCTTTCAATTGCCTTTAAAACTTCAGCGTCAGAAGGCTTCTCTCTTGGAGTTCCTTCACTGTCGTTTTCATCATCAGATCTTTTCTCCAATTCATCCTCCATGCCAGTTTTTTGCTCACACTTTGCAATGTTTCGTCTCCTGTAGGAATTTCGCTTGATATTAGATCCTCGTCTACATTTACGAATTCATCCAAAGATAATTATTTTTCTTAATTCTGACGGAGGCATTTCATCTTCTAAGTCATAATAGGTGTGCGTTCCAAACCCAGCTTTTCTGAAGCAGTTCTGAATAGTCGCTTGGGTTACATCTGCCTCCCATACTGTTACTGAAATATGAATGCAATCCAAGAGATCAATTATAGGGATTGTGACATTGGTTTCAAATCCGTCTAGTATTTTTTCCATGATTCTACGTTTATAATGAAATTTAAAACTTTTTATAATGCCCTGATCTAGATGCTGCAGTTTGGATGTCATATTTGGTGGAAAGAAAATCAACTTTATTGCCTTTAACCGATGATTAATGCAGGAAGCGCAGGATAGTTGTCAATCAGAGACAAAACCTTACGGTTTTGCAGTAGAAACTGTTTGTCCAGGTCCAACAGCCACATTGAAAAAATGTCACTCGTCATCCATGCCTCTTTATTGTTGTGCTAAGTCAGCGGTAAATTTTTAACTCTTCGAAAGCATCGGAGTTTTGCGCTTTTTCCTATTAGGACAAGTTTTAGTTTTTCAGTGCCAGTCATATTTGTTGTTAATAAAAGGCTCGCCCTTTCATTAGACAACTGTCCACCGTGACATTTTTCAAATTTGAATGTTAAGGTTTTGTCTGGTAAACGTTTAAAAAATAAACCAGTCTTATCTGCGTAAAAAATATCGTGATGTACTGAGGTCCGCAGTCTCATATCTGGTCTATTTAATAATGAGTCTTGTAATCGCTACGCTTGCTTACTTAAGGGTAGATTACACTAGCATGTAGCGTTTGCTCAAGTAGGACATGCAAGTTGATGCAAACTCTACTTGCATTCAAGTTAAGGTTTACACTACAAACCGCTTTGCAAGGGAAACCTGCTTAAATTCCAGTCAGTGCAGTTCTTCATCACGACCAAACATTCTCGTCACTTGTTGACAAGTAGCAGTTGTCTGCAAGCAACAGGTTTACACAGTTGCGCACAAGTGGAGCTTTTGCGAAAGCAACAAATGCATTCAAGTCCGCGTTACAAGTTAAACTTTCGTGCATTTTAATGTTTACATTTGAGAGTTTTTCTGCAAGTGGGATGCAAATAAAACTTACGCAAGCGCTACATGCTAGTGTAAACTCTCCTTTAGCAGGGTGAACATGTTAAAATTACCCCTCCCCATTCTTTCCAATTGGCAGCATTTTAACCGCGCTTGCGCCACCCCCCTCTTTTACTTCCCAATGCACCAGTCCAAGAAATTATTGTAATCGCGAAAAATTTCGTAAAGGGATACTATGGTAATTATACTAAGTGACATATAAATCCGAACACCCAGTTTAAATGGTTTTATTTTAATAAAAGTTGGTGATTGTATTTATCTTACTGTAAATAACAAGTGAAAAAATGTTCAGTCTTATCAGTTGGACATTCCGGTTTTTATACTGCTTTTTTTTAATTCACTAACGCTCTAAAAATGAATATTTCAGCCGCAGTAAAGAATCAACGTTGGCGGATTTTGGTTCTTGACATCCTTTACGACCGGTTACGATGCCTAGAGTACAGAGACCTGTACGATTTCGTCAACTTAGTGAGTTTGATAGGGGCCGTATAGTGGGACTTCGGGAAGCTGGACTTTCTTTTCGGGCAATTGCAGTTAGAGTGCCAAGAAGTGTAGACACTGTGGTTAGGTGTTGTCAGGCATGGCTTCGAGAAGGCCGTACGCAAAGAGCAAGGGGCACTGGACGCCGCCGTAGAACAACAGACCGTGGAGATCGCCGCCTAAGATTATCGGCCTTAAGGGACCGTTTCTCCACTACCAGGTCCATTGCAAATGAATGGTTTGCAGAACACGGAAGACCTATTGGCATGCGAAGTGTTTAGCGACGAATGAGAAGTTTTGGCTTATTTTCATACCGGCCACACTGGGTCCTCCCTTTAACTCGAGAACACCGACGTAGTCGCCTTGAGTGGTGCAGACATCGGTCACTCTGGGATCAGCAATGGAACAGTATTGTCTTTAGTCACGAGTCTCGATTTTGTTTAGGCATGCACGATGGTCGTGCCAGGGTAGAAGGCGACGTAGTGAAAGGAGGAATCCACAGTTTTTTGTTGAAAGACATGTTCATCACACTGTTGGAGTTATGGTTTGGGGTGCTATAGCTTATGGTTCCAGGTCAGCTTTAATCTTAATCAGAGGTAACATGAACGCGCAGCGTTATATCCACGAAGTTCTAGAACCCCATCTTTTACCCTATCTTGACACTCTGGCAGATCCAACATTCCAACAAGATAATGCCCGACCACATGTTGCAAGAGTCACAATAGACTTCTTTCAACATAATGATGTCACATTGTTACCATGGCCACCAAGATCTCCCGACTTATCCCCAATTGAGCACGTGTGGGATATGATGGGTAGGAGATTGCTCAATTTGCAACGTCCTCCTCAGACTCGAGAAGCACTTCGAGAGGAGTTGGTGGTTGCCTGGAATGAGATACCACAGGAGGACATTGACCACCTGATCAGAAGCATGCCTAGGCGCGTTGGAGAATGCGTAGCACATCAGGGTGCATCCACACATTATTAAGGGTCAAAGGGCTTTAAAGCAGTGCAATCATTTTGAAATTTTTATCGTTTACTTATTATGCTTCATTAAGTACTTATACAAAATTTTATTAAAATAAAACCATTTAAACTGGGTGTTTGGATTTATATGTCACTTAGTATATATTTGTACATCACGAAAAACTATATCACCTATTTCCATCACTATCTGTCTGTCTGTCTGCTAATCGTTGGACCGCTTATATCTTGTGAAGTACATCCCAAATTTTTTTATTGAAAAGATCCTTGGAAATTGACCTTGATTTTCTAGGTGTCCGCGGCTAAAAAAGGTTGATAAACTCTGATTTAGAGGAAAGGGTCCAAAACCTGAGTTCCATTTTGTTATTGGTTAAAAAATATGAAAAGTAGCTGAAAGTGCGTTTATCTAGTTAGTGTTAAGCATCATTTACTTTCCACATTCATAAGCTGCAGTTGAACATATATTGTGAAAAAAAAATCTAAAAGCCTTTTTTGAAAATAGCTGTCGAAACCGGAAAATCGTCATTCATCAATTAAGTTTTTAGTCTTATTCAAGAGTACAAAATATATACTCGGTGACATTAGAAGTGTTACACCCAAAAAAAATAATTACTTCATCTTGATTTTTTGTCAATGAGGTAGTCTTAGACCAAAAACGAAACGATAACATAGAAAATTAATAATGTGTTGGGCGGCCCCGCAGATGAATACACTCCTGTATACGTCTAAGCATCGACAAAATGAGATGATCGATGTCTGGTTGTGGCAACTCACACTTCGTGGATTAGCTGTGACAGAGTCTGTGGCGGATGGTGCAATAGTCTCCTCCCCATCATATCTCACACATGTTCGATGGGATTCAAATCCGGTCTACCTCCTCCTTCAAACCATTGGTCAGTGATCTTACGCGTCGTTGCAAAACGGTCTCGTAGGACTAGTCGTCCGAAGCGCCTACTTTGATGCTCTGTGGTACGCCTCGGTGGATCAGTTCGCCTTCTTCGTGTTCCTCTACCTTCTATCCACACACGACACACACGCATTGCCGTCATCGCAGAACAATTCACAAGGCGGCAGGACAAACAGACATCTCGATAGGCCATGATTCTACCCCTGTCAAAGTCGCTAACATGGACGAACTCGATGCATTTTGTTATGCTTAACACTAGTAAATGGAAGGGCAATAGCTTATAATATCTGTACTACTCAGCTCTCAGAAACTGCTCTCTTCACAAAAACTAAGAGATAACATTTCAACAAAGGTAAACAAAAGCAAAGATAAAACTATGAAATTGTTGTCACAGAATGCTTTAAATATAGCAAAAAAAAACAAGTTGAAATTATTTTTTCTGGGTGTAACATTGTCACTAAGTATATTTAAAACAGACACCTAGTCTTTACTTCCTTAGTAACAAAAATCGCAAATGCACACTTCTTTCCTGCTCCCTACTTTTCCCCTTCCACCTTCTTATTTGTACAACAAGATTCCTCACACTCTTAAAACCTAGTCTCAGTGCCTTCAAACCTGGAATCAATGATTCGATACTAGCCATTGATTTTGTTTAATTTTATTCGATCCTTTGACTGTAATCATGTAAGTGTTATTCCCTGAATCAAATCAGTTACGTCACAAGGTCAAATAATTACAGTGACGCACATGGTTGCCACATTAATTAAAACTACTAGAACCTAGGACGTTTTACGAAATCTACTATATGTCTTCGATGCTTTACATTACGGAGCGTATGTCTTGTACACACTAGAGCTAGTATAAATTCTATACTAAGTGACATATAAATCCGAACACCCAGTTTAAATGGTTTTATTTTAATAAAAGTTGGTGAATGTATTCATCTTACTGTAAATAACAAGTGAAAAAATTTTCAGCCTTATCAGTTGGACATTCCGGTTTTTATCGGTTACGATGCCTAGAGTACGGAGACCTGTATGATTTCTCAACTTAGTGAGTTTGATAGGGGCCGTATAGTGGGACTTCGGCAAGCTGGACTTTCTTTTCGGGCAATTGCAGTTAGAGTGCAAAGAAGTGTAGATACTGTGGTTAGGTGTTGTCAGGCATGGCTTCGAGAAGGCCGTACGCAAAGAGCAAGGGGCACTGGACGCCGCCGTAGAACAACAGACCGTGAAGATCGCCGCCTAAAATTATTGGCCTTAAGGGACCGTTTCTCCACTACCAGGTCCATTGCAAATGAATGGCTTGCAGAACACGGAAGACCTATTGGCATGCGAAGTGTTTACCGACGAATGAGAAGTTTTGGCTTGTTTTCATACTGGCCACACTGGGTCCTCCCTTTAACTCGAGAACACCGACGTAATCGCCTTGAGTGGTGCAGACAACGGTCACTCTGGGATCAGGAATGGACAGTATTGTCTTTAGTGACGAGTCTCGATTTTGTTTAGGCGTGCACGATGGTCGTGCCAGGGTCAGAAGGCGACGTGGTGAAAGGAGGAATCCACAGTTTTTTGTTGAAAGACATGTTCATCACACTGTTGGAGTTATGCTTTGGGGTGCTATAGCTTATGGTTCCAGGTCACCTTTAATCTTCATCGGAGGTAACATGAACGCGCAGCGATATATCCACGAAGTTCTAGAACCCCATCTTTTACCCTATCTTGACACCCTGGCAGATCCAACTTTCCAACAAGATAATGCCCGACCACATGTTGCAAGAGTCACAATAGACTTCTTTCAACATAATGATGTCACATTGTTACCATGGCCACCAAGATCTCCCGACTGATCCCCAATTGAGCACGTGTGGGATATGATGGGTAGGAGAATGCTAACTTTGCAACGTTCTCTTTAGACTCTAGAAGCACTTCGAGAGGAGTTGGTGGTTGCCTGGAATGAGATACCACAGGAGGACATTGACCACCTGATCAGAAGCATGCCTAGGCACGTTGGAGAATGCGTAGCACATCAGTGTGCATGCACACATTATTAAAGGTCAAGGGGCTTTAAAGCAGTGCAATCATTTTGAAATTTTTATCATTTACTTATTATGCTTCATTAAGTACTTATACAAAATTTTATTAAAATAAAACCATTTAAACTGGGTGTTCGGATTTATATGTCACTTAGTATATTTATTAGGTTCCTAATGCCTCTCTTATGGACTGTAAAGAC